GACCCCTTTCAGCAGTTATATCGAGACGATGGCATAGAGAGGCACTTCACGGTTAGTCATACACCGTAGCAAAATAGGATGACAGAGAGGCTAAATCAGTCTTTGCTGGAGAAGGTCTGATGTTTATTATCGCAGAGTGGTTTGGAGAAGATCTTTTGGGCTAAGGCGCTTACATATGCGAGCCACCTCATTAATAGGTTGCCTTCATCTGTGATTGAGGGGAAGACTCCTATGAAGATGTGGTCGGGAGAGCCAGCACACGACTATGACCAGCTCAAGGTATTCGGGTGCCCTATATTTTATCATGTGAGAACAGATAAATTAGAACCTCGAGCTAGGAAGGCCATATTTGTAGGATTTAAGCGTGTTATCAAGAGATACAAGTTATGAGATCCAGTTGATAAGAAGATTGTGCTGAGTAGGGACATCACATTCGATGTGGCTTCTATCTTGAAGCTTCCCAGCTCTCATCAGGTGGAGAGCACCCCAACAGAGGAGATATCACAGGTGGTGGAGATCGTTGTAGCTCCACATTGTCCAGATGGTACAACATCCATTAGAGTGCCGACTGAGGTAACACCAGGCGAGCACGGCAATGACGAGGAGGATACGAGTACAATTATGCAGGATCATAGATCGATGGGTCAGGTTCAGGATTTTATTACGGTTCGGAGACAGAGGAGAAACATACAGATGCCAGCACGGTATGCCGACACAGTTACGTATACACTTCCGGTGGAGAGTATCGATGAGCTGGTACCTAGTACATTTAGAGAGGCCGAGCAGAGTTCGGAGGCTGATTCGTGACAGGTGGCTATGCAGGAGGATATGGAATCTCTTCATAAGAACGATACATGGGAGCTTGTTGAGCTTCCAAAGGGGCGAAAGGTAATTGGTTGCAAGTGGGTATACACGAAGAATGAGGGCATTGAGGGCACTCCATTGAGGTTCAAAGTTAGGTTTGTTGTGAAGGGCTATGCACAGGAGGAAGGTATTGACTATAATGAGGTTTTCTCTCCGGTGGTGAAGCACTATTCGATTCGGATTTTGCTAGCTTTAGTGGCACAGTATGGTTTAGAATTAGATCAGTTGGATGTGAAGACGATATTTCTTCATGGTGATCTTGATGAAGAAATATATATGACTCAGCCATTGAGATTCCGAGCTGCAGGGAAGGAAAAATTGGTTTGCAGGTTGAAGAAATCGCTATACGGTTTGAAGCAGTCTCCTCGACAGTGGTATAGGCGATTTGATGATTTTATGATTGGTCATTCGTACACTCGGAACCAGTTTGATCCTTACGTATATTTTCGTAAGTTAAAAGGAGGTGCGTACATCTATTTGTTACTTTATGTCGATGACATATTGGTTGCCTCTACTTCCAGGTCAGCTATAGATGAGTTAAAAGTTCAGCTTTCAAATGAGTTTGAGATGAAGAACTTGGGCTAGGCAAAGCGCATTCTAGGGATGGAGATCGGCAGAGACAAGAAGAAGGGCAAAAGTTGTTTGACACATGTGGCTTATTTGAAGAAGGTTCTACAACGATTCCATGTTAGCATGAATACAAAGCCAGTTGGTGTACCTTTGGGAGCCCATTTGAAGCTTTCAGCTGGTCTTTCTCTGAAGACAGTTGAAGATTGAGAGTTAATGTTGAAGACTCCATATGCGAGTGCGGTTGGAAGCTTGATATATGTGATGGTATGTACGAGACCAGATTTGTCACAGGCGGTGAGCATGGTATCGAGATACATACACGATCCAGGAGTGGGTCATTGGGACACCGTGAGATGGATTTTGAGGTACATTCGAGGTACGCTCAATGTTGGTTTACTTTATGAGCGGGACACTACAGGTGGGCAGCTATACATTGGTTATGTTGATTCGGATTATGCTGGGAATTTGGATAAGCGTCGGTCCACGACGGGGTATATGTTCACTTTGACCCGTGCTCCAGTGTGTTGGAGATGCACCTTATAGTCTACGGTGGCTTTGTCTATGATGGAGGCAGAGTATATGGCAGTTACGGAGGCTGTGAAGGAGGCTATTTGGCTTCGAGGACTTTTGGAGGAACTTGGTATATCGTAGCGGTCCATCACCATTTATTATGATAGCATGAGTGCTATCTATTTGGCGAAGAATCAGGTTTTTCATACGAGGATGAAGCATATTGATGTTCGTTATCACTTTGTTCGGGATATTCTTGAAGATGGAGATGTGAAGATTGTGAAAGTCCACACAAAGGATAATCCGGCGGATATGCTCACTAAGGTGGTTTTGAGCAATAAGTTTAATCATTGTCAAAACTTGTTGCACATTCGTGATTGTTGAGGCCGTTGGCGGCCATTTGGATGAACTGCGGGTGGCTTGATTCCTTGGCCAAGAGGATACATAGGTAGTTATTTATGATACAGCCGATTTGGTAAGTATATACCGACATTTGGATGCTTTGGTGTCGGCTCAGTTTTGAGAAAACTTCGCAGAGGTGGAGAATTGTGAACGGAGGAGTCTCACGTGGGGGCCACACCCACATGATTTTGAGAGTTTATTCGGCGTGAAATCGGGTCGGGTCAATTAATTAGTTTGGCCTGGATTTTTTCGATGCAACTATATATATATAATTCTTGGCCACCAGTAAAATATCAGCTAGAGATGGACATGGACTCATTGTTTCCTATGAACAAAGCAGAATCGCCGAACTCCTCAACTGAATCCATCCTTGTGACCCTCATCCCACTCATCACTATGAAAGTCTAGAACTGACTTTCCTATTTTTCGGTATCCTACAGTCTCCACACTTAAAGCAAATTTCCCCAAGGTGGTACTACCAGATATCTATAAAATTCTTGGGTTTCTATTTCGGGTCCATATGAAAGAAGCATTGGCTTTTTACAATTGGTATCCCAAGCTTGAACTAGTCACTTATCATCAAGGATAAAATAAAAATAGATTCTTATGACATGCAAGATCGTGATATAGAGCACATCTAGTTGAGGAGGGGAAATTGTTCAATTGCAGACCAAGTTATTAATAATTACTAACTAAGAAAGTGATGAGTATTGATATTTTACTTCTAAACTTAATCGTGAGCTTTGAATTTAGGCATTACGGGCTTCATTGGAGATCTTTTGGACTCAAAATAAACTTTTTTTGAGCTCTTTTTCAATAATCCTATAGTACCTATAAATTATGGAAAAAAAATTATTATCAGATATATTTATTCAAAAAATATAGATAATGATGATATAAAGTGCAATAAAATGTGATGATCAGTATGTATTATGCAAGATGTGAGAGACTAATAAACCCTATAATTTCAGGCCTAATCATAGTTAAGGGTTATTGATTAAGATTGTTGATTCAGACTCGGATTTTTTCTTGAATTTTAATTTAGAGTGATATTTGTTTCTAGCTAGAATTTAGATTTAAATTTAAGGAGTTATTGGTTTAAGAATTGGATTCAAATTTAAATTTAAATTGTTATTAGTTTAGGACTAGGATTTGAATTCGAATTTAATATGTTATTGGTTTAGGACTAGGATTTAGATTTGATTTAAGGTGTTGTTGGTTGTGTAAGATTGTTATTGGGACTAGAAATTTAAAATCCACAATCCATACTAACTCCATAGTTTTTAATGAGAAATTGTTTACAGAAAGTCCAAGTTAAAATTGGTGGATTGTGACTCACTCTGCGAATTTCTCTCTCCTCTTCTGTTTAATTATTTGATATTTACTATATTTTAAATTAAATATATATAATTTTAAGATATTATGTATTCCTAAAGTATTTATATATTACACTGAATGTACTTAAGTTTAAAATATTTATAATCAAATTATTTTTAATTTAATTTATTTAAAATGGAACATATTTAATACTATTTAATGACTTAATATATTTAATATTTAATAATTAATATTCATATTAAATTAGATATGTCCATTATTTAACAATTCCTAAGTGTATGAATATTTTAAATATTTAATATTATATTACATTCATTTACTTTTTATTTAAATGTTAGAAAAGAAATATATTAAGTACATAAATATGGAATATATGCAATATTTAAAAATTAATAATAATAATATTTAACACTAAATCATTTGAATGTGTGAGGTCAAATGTTTGATATAAAATTTTCTAATATATTTAATATTTACATATTTAAATATACAAATTACTTTTTTGTATGATCGAATACTTCTTATTTAATTTATGTACTTGAAAGCTAGTGTTTTTTTATCTACGTGCTTGTACTAGTTATCTTCTGTTATGTGATATTATCTACACTGTTTAAATGGACTACGGTATGTATTTAGTTTTGTTGTTCATATTCATTAATTGAAATGAGGGTAATTTTCCAAATTAATATTCATTTTTGTAAATAATTATCATTTAACATAATAATTTATTTTAAAACTCTTAATTCAAAGTAATCCACGAATCTAAAATTTTGTAAGAGAATCCGACCCTTAGTTTATGAATCCAAAGGAAAATTTTAAAAATCCAAACCAAAATTAAAGAATTCCACGCAAAACTCAAATTCCAATCCAAGAGTCGTGAGCTCTAACCATAATCCGAATTCAAATTCCAATCTAAGAATGGTTGATATATGAACAATTATTCGAGTCTAAATCTACAATCCAAAACAAATAACACCCTTTTGGGGTTTTTCCATATTAGTCTCTTACGAAACATATATATGCATCCATTTTTAAATTTGCCTTCTTAAGTAGCCAAGCTAATGTCAAAACCGGCTGTATCTAACAGACAATTGGTATCTATGATAAAAAAAAAATTTAAAAATAGTATTGCGTCATTCCACCATCCTGCAAGCCAATGTCATCGTTATACAAACCAAGTAACCGGGTGACTGAACGCTCCAAGAAGCTCAATTTACCAACCATTGGAAATATAAATCTCAACAAATCAAAAGGACAACACAAGCAACGGTTCAGAAACAATCACATGGTTACTGACAGCTTGATGAGTTCATGCTTCAAGTAAAAGTACAACCACCAGCACCACCAATATAAACTGGATGATGTGACATATAGTTTGCATCCACATAATAACAATATGGATTATTTTTGAGTACTTCTGTTGATGGAACGATAAATTCGCCTGTTGGAGAAATTACGAATAGATCTTTAAGATAAGCTCCTTTGCCCCAGCCGTCAACAGGAGGATGGCCACTTCCCATCGGAGGAGTCCTGTCGCCGGGATGATAAGAGACGAAGCCGCCAAATTGGACATGAGTAGCAGCCTCCGCTAAAGTAGTAAAAAGAGATTTTGGCCAATGACCTACACGTTTGTCTCCCTGGGGGCCAGCGTGCAGCACCCAGTCCCCAGTTGTATTATCCTTCATGGATCAAGCAAAAACGAAAACAAATCATAAGATAGCAGGTTCTAGTCGTGAGAATTATAAACAGGTATCGTGCCTGAATTTTCTTAAAGATAATGTTGAGGCTGGGTATTAAGTAATGCATGGTAGATACATGCCAAATGGATTTTGATTTATTGAAATATTAGTTCTGAAGGATATTGCAGTCCGGTCCACAAGATTGTTGGTCTTGAGAGTGGAGACCCAAACCTAGAATCAAAATCAACAAACACATGAAAATTCAAGACAGGCCACAGGTATGGTGCGCGTCACACCCTGTTGTGACAGAATGTGCCTTGTATTTTGAAGACAGGCGACAGGTGTGGCGCGCGCCACACCCTGGTGTGGCGGAATCTTCCTTTGTATTCTGAAGACATGCCACAGGTGTGGTGTGCACCACACCCGGGTGTGGCAAACTCGTTTTCAGAATCCTAATCTGTTTTGGATTGTGTTTTGATATAAATAGAAACACGTCCCTCTAAGGTTTAGGAGAGGAAAAGAACACGAAAAAAGAGGGTTTTGAGGGCTCTTTGAGATCAGAAATCTTAGAGAGAGAAAGAGGCCAATTGCGAGCATTGTAATCTTCTTCAATTAGTCAAAGAATTATGTGGTGTGGCTTCCGAGGACGTAGGCACATTGTCGAACCTCGTTAAATCTGGTGTATTCTTTCTTGTTTACTTTCCTGTAAGTTTTTATCTTTTATTTGTGGTGATTTTTCTACTTTCCTACTCTAAACACAAGATCCAGAAGGGCACAGATTCGATTTGATTGTTTTGAATCCCCAACAACTGATATCAGAGCTTCGTTCAGCAAATTTGTGAGAGAGAGCCATGGCAGGGGAAATAAAATCTAAGATCGAGAAGTTTGACGGTTCAGACTTTACATACTGGAAGTCGCAGATGGAGAACTATCTGTACCAGAAGAACTTGTATCGCCCGTTGATGAGCAAGGATAAGGGACAAAAGAAAGAGAAGTCAGATGATGATTAGGAGATACTGGATAGGAAGGCTCTAGGAAAAATCTGGTTGTCGCTCGTCGAGACAGTCGCACACAACATATTGAAGGATAAGACTAGGGTGGGGCTTATGGAAGCGCTCGCGAAGATGTACAAGCAACCGTCTGCAGCAAACAATGTGCATCTCATCAAAACTCTTTTCAACCTCAAGTTGGCAGAAGGACGATCCTTCATGATGCACCTTAGTGAGTTCAACATGATTGTTGATCAACTTATCTCTGTGAACATCATATTTGATGACAAAGTGAAAACCCTATTGACTCTATCTCAGTTGTCGGATAGTTGGGCAGGTTGTGTGATGACAATCAACAATTTGGTGGGGAAAAAAGTTGAACCTGAGTGAGGTTGTTAGCATGATTCTATCCGAGAAGGTTAGAAGAAAATCGTCTGAATCAGAAGGTTCAGGTTCAGCACTAAGTTTCGAGTAGAGAGGCAGAAGCTAGAAGAAATGGAACCAGAATAAGAATCAATCGAAGTCGAAGAAGAGGTCAAGCTCGAAGGTTAGGCCTATCAAAGGGAAGTGTTGGAGCTGCGGCCAGGAGGGCCATATGTCTTCAGTCTGTAAAAGTCCAAAGAAGGATGCGGGTGTGCGGGAAGCTCATATCGTGCAGGATGTTTTGATCCTTGCTATGGACAGCGATTCAATTTTTTGGGTCATTGACTCAGGAGCCTCTTTCCACGCCACTGCTAATAAGAAGCATCTTCATAATTATGTAGTGGGGGACTTTGAAAAGGTATATTTGGTGGGTAATGAACCCTGTAATATTGTTGCAAAGGGCGGCGTGCAGATTCAGATGAAGAGCTCTAAGTGGAACATAAAGAACATGAGACATGTACCAAAGTTAAAGAAAAATCTTATTTTGGTAGGATAACTTGGAGCAGAAGGCTACGTTTTAACATTCACCGGGGATTCATGGAGGATCTCCAATGACACGATGGTTGTTGCCCGAGGCAACAAAACAGGAACACTCTACCTCACCTCACATACGAGTGACACCCTCACAATTACAGCTGACAAAGAGAGTACAAATCTGTGTCACAGCAGGCTGGGACATATGAGCGAGAAGGGAATGAAAATTCTATATTCACAAGGAAAGCTAACCAGGATCGATTCCGTGGAAGTAGGGGTTTGTGAAGGCTGCATCTTTGGAAAGCAGAAGAGGGTTAGTTTCCAGAAGGGTGAAAGGCCACCTAAGGCTCAGAAGCTAGAGTTGATTCATATAGATATATGGGGTCTAGCCAGTGTGTCTTCTTTTCATGGTTCGAGATACTATGTCACCTTTATCGACGACCACTCGAGGAATGTATGGATTTACTTCATGAAGCACAAGTCAGAGGTGTTCGGAGTCTTCAAGAAGTGGAAGGTCATGATGGAGAACGAGACAGATCTGAAGGTGAAGTGTCTGAGATCAGACAATGGTGGAGAATACGAGCTAGAGGAGTTTAAGAGGTTTTGTGCTATGAATGGTATTCGTTTAGAGAGGACTACTCCAGAAATACCATAGTAGAATGACATTACAGAGAGGATGAATAGAACCTTGATGGAGTGTGCCAGGAGCATGCGATTACATGCAGGTCTACCTAAAATATTTTGAACGGATGTGGTGCATACGGAGGCTTACCTTATTAATCATGGGTCATCAGTTCCATTGGATTTTAGGATTCCACAGGAGAAGGTTTGGAGTGGTAAGAAGGTCAATCTCTCACACTTGTAAGTATTTGACTGCGTGGCTTATATTCACATAAGTGACCATGTTAGGGACAAGCTAGAAGCTAAGTCACAAAAGTATACATTCATTGGGTACGGTATTAATGAGTTTGGATATCGTCTTTGGGATGAGAAGAACAGGAAGATCATCAGGAGCCAAAACGTCATATTCAATGAGGAGGTGATGTACAAGAACAAAAAAAATACCAAGGATAGCCAAAGCAGTGGGAGTAGCACTTCGGATGCAGGTGGATCCAAGTATATGGATTTAGAGGAACTTCCAGATAGGGGTGATGATATTTGTTCTGATCGAAGAACGGAGGTGGCTCCGAGTGCAAAAGCAACAACCCAAGACATAGAGCTTAGGAGGTCATCTAGGGTACCCAAACCAAATCCTAGATAACTTTTATTCTTGATTATTTATTATTGACAGATAGCGGTAAACCGGAATGCTATGAGGAGGCTATGCAAGTAAGTGAATCTCAATAGTGGGAGCATGCGATGCAGGAGGAGAAGGATTCTTTACTCACTAATGAGACATGAGAGTTAGCCCAGCTACCTGCACAGAAGAAAGCCTTGCATAATAAATAGGTCTACCAAGTCATGCAAGAGAGTGATGGAAGCAAGAGTACAATGTCAGATTAGTTGTAAAGGGGTTCCAGTAGTGAGAAGGAGCGGACTACATGGAGATATTTTTCCCTGCTGTAAAGCTGACAACTATCAGAGTGGTGTTGAGTTTGATAGCTGCAGAAGATATCTTTCTTGAGTAGTTAGATATGAAGACTATCTTTCTTCATGGTGACTTGGATGAAAAAATCTACATGAAGCAGATTGTTGGCTTCATTGAAGAAGGAAAGGAAGAGATGGTGTGCAAGCTCAAGAAGAGCTTATATGGTTTGAAATAAGCTCCGAGACAGTGGTATAAGAAGTTTGATAACTTCATGCAGAGCAATTGTTATGGAAGATGTAATTCAGATCATTGCTGCTATTTCAAGAGGTTCGAGTCCAGCTTTACTATATTGTTATTATATGTTGATGACATGTTAGTAGCAGGACCGTGTTTAGATAAGATAAATAGTTTGAAGAAGCAGCTAGCAAATGAGTTTGCAATGAAGAATCTGGGTGCAACGAAGCAGATTCTAAAGATGTGAATCAGTAGGGATGAAGTTGAAGGGACATTGAGGTTGAACCAAGCTGAATATATCAAGAAGGTACTTCATAGGTTCAGTATGCAGAATGCTAAGGTTGTTAGCACACTCCTTGGAAGCCAGTTCAAGTTATCTGATGAGCAATCGCCTAAGACAGATGTATAGAGAGAGCATATGAGCAGGGTGCTATATTCTTCGGTCATTGGGAGTCTCATGTACGTGATGGTTTGCACAAGACCGAACATTGCCCATGCAGTGGGAGTTGTGAGAAAGTTTGCAAGCAATCCAGGGAATCAACATTAAGAGGCCGTGAAGTGGATATTACGGTACCTGAAAGGGACAACGAATAAGCCACTATGTTTCAGGAGGAAGAAGTTAGTGCTGCAGGGATACGTGGATGCGGACTTCACCAGTGGTCATGATACAAGGCGGAGCACCACGGGGTATGTTTATACTTTGGCATCGACATCAGTGAGCTGGGTCTCACGTCTACAGAAGATTATAACTTTATCTACAACCGAGGTTGAGTATGCCACGGTGACTGAAGCAAGCAAGGAGATAATTTGGTTGGCTGGAAGTTTGGAAGAGTTTGATTTGAAGCAAGGGAGGGGAGTTCTTTGTTGTGATAGCCAGAACGCTATACACTTTGCCAATAATCCAGTTTATCATACCAGAATGAAACACATCAATGTACGATACCATTTCATATGCTCGCTGATCGAGGACAGGAAGTTATATTTAGAGAATATTTTGGGGAGTCAAAATCCTACGGATATGTTGACGAAAGCAATAATCATTGACAAACTGGAGTTGTGCACAACTTCAGTTGGCCTTCATGCGTAGGAGATGAACGCGGAGCCACACAAGGATGATCGTTGAGATCGTCGGGTTGATGATGGTTGATGAATGGAATTTTCCAAGTAGGAGAAGATGCTTGCGAAGAAGGTGAAGTTCGGGAGAGCTCATTGATGGTGGTTTGGTCTCCAAGTGGGAGATTGTTGGTCTTGAGAGTGGAGACCCAAACCTAGTATCAAAATCAACAAACGCATGAAAATTCAAGACAGGCCACAGGTGTGGTGCGCGTCACACCCTGGTGTGACAGAATGTGCCTTGTATTTTGAAGACAGACGACAGGTGTGACGCGTGCCACACCCTGGTGTGGCAGAATCTGTCTTTGTATTCTGAAGACAAGCCAAAGGTGTGGTGCGCACCACACCCGGGTGTGGCAGACTCGTTTTCATAATCCTAATCTGTTTTGGATTGTGTTTTGATATAAATAGAAACACGTCCCTCTAGGGTTTAGGAGAGGAAAAGAACACGAAAAAGAGGGTTTTGAGGACTCTTTGAGATCAGAAATCTTAGAGAGAGAGAGGTCAATTGTGAGCATTGTAATCTTCTTCAATTAATCAAAGAATTGTGTGGTGTGGCTCCCGAGGACGTAGGCACGTTGCCGAACCTCGTTAAATCTGGTATGTTCTTTCTTGTTTATTTTCCTGTAGGTATTTATCTTTTATTTGTGGTGATTTTCCTATTTTCCTACTCTCAACACAAGATCCGGAAGGACACTGATTCGATTTGATTGTTTCGAATCCCCAACAAAGATTGTGGTAGATATTTGTCACCGGCAGACTGACAGAAAATGTAGCATTTGAAAGTTCAGTTATATTTTAACAGATAAATTTGTGAACTTCGCTGTTGAAATTGGTTACCACCAACAAACACCCAAATGTTTACCCCTTGTACGCATTACTAGTTTAATGTCATGTGTCAAATACAAGTGCATTTTATTTATCATAATAGATGCTAAAATGTACTTTACAAAATTTAAATAAAATCTCATACTGTGCACTACAATTTAAAACTCATAAAATTGAGAACTTTATCAACTTATAATATGCTGATGTGGTACTGGGGACGCATGCCGGCAAATGGAAGCAAATAACTGTGTGAAGATTATAAATTTGACCATCTAAGGGCACATATGCAGAATGTGTTACTCCATAGAAGGTTATTTAATTTTAAAGAATATTTTCAAAATCACGAATAGGTTTCAAATTTTCGTAATGAAACAGTGACACAATGAAGAATCTAAATGCAAGATACGCATCCAAAACATAAGAGGTGTTCCATAGTATACAGGTGTTCCATAGTAGATGCAAGACAGGGATCCATCTTCATCAGTCTTCATAAAGTAGAAAGGAAGAATACTAAGTCATTACCACATTAAAATTTGACAGCATAAAGGTGCTCCATAGTATAATATAGAAATAAATATTATATGCAGTAACACATTCTGCGTAGTTCCAATATGTGATTTTATGTACTTAGTAAAGCCCACAGAACGAGAAAAAATGGAAGACATTACCTTGAATATTTTTAATGTAATGACATATTGATCTCCATTATATGTGGATAGGGGTCTAATTTTTTTCCCTAAGACGTATTCTGATGATTTATAAGGTACAAATCCTTTGCAGAGAAGATTGTAGCATCCCGTAGTTTGAAATCCATCAGTCTATTAAAAAAATAACACATTAGAAACCATTTAAACTAAATATTGCATTGTACTTTTATGGTGGATAAATCGAACTATATACCGTCCAATACGCCATTAGATGTGTATCATTGTCGCCATATATTTCTGGAAATACCTGAAATTCTCACAAATTAGAAGAAAGAAAAAATTGTCATGACAATTTGATATTTACCCAACTTTTGTTTGTTTCAGTTTCAAAATCATTGTTAATTAAAACATATATCCATTACATGGAAGATGCTAATGCTAACATTAAATAGATAATGAGAAAATAAATAAAACTCGGTTATGTTGAGTTTTCGCGATCTCTTCTTGGTGCATATTAGCAGGCGATTTTTTTCCTGCTAACTGTAGGCGTCTAAAATTGTCTACGAGAGCCCACACGAAACTCGAAGCAATGAATGGGCGAGTCAAGAAGATTCGTCAAACCAACTCGTGCGCGTCGGTCAAACGCGTGCACGTCAATCAACTCGTGCGCGCCAGTCAACGCGCGCACGTCAATCAGCTCGTGTGCGCCGGTCAACCCGCGCACGTCAATCAACGCGTGCGCGTCAGTCAAACACGTGCACGTCAAACCAACTTGTGCACGCCGATCAAACGCGTGCACGTCAACCAACTCGTGCGCGCCGGTCAATGCGTGCACGTCAAATCATCTCGTGCGCGCCGGTCAATGCGCACACGTCAAATCATCTCGTGCGCGCCGGTCAACGCGCGCACGTCAAATCATTTCGTGCGCGTCGGTCAACGCGCGCACGTCAACCACCTCGTGCGCGCCGGTCAACGCACGCACGTCAATCAGCCCGCGCGCATCGATCAGCACGCGTATGTTAACCAACGCGTGTTCGACGATCGGTCTCGCGACGAAGCATACAAGTCAACAAATCGAACGAATACGCAACAAGAACAAGTCCCGGAAGAAAGAAACCAAAAAAAGGGGAGAAAGTCGGCGAACCCGCGCTAAGCGCAGGACGGAATGATCCGACCCGCCCGCTGTCGATTCCCCCACGGGCGGTTCAGCAGACACTAAGCCAGGGCGCAGACCCGTCACGCGCTTACATGAGCTCTCCACTCCATACCCAGCCGTAGAACCCGTAAAGACGCCACAAGTGACCCCGTCCTGAGTGGGGGTCAAATCCCAGTTCATCGTCCGAGGAATCGCGAGGGACCGCAGCTCAACAATCGAAAACCCTCTCGGCATGCTGGGGAGGTAATAATGGGTCCCCTCTACCGTGCGGAACCACCGGCTCTCTTTGAGCAACAGGGCAGAAGGGTCGGTCATGGAGTCGCCGAACAGAAATTGAGGTTTCGGCAGCTCTGCCCTGGCCTCATCTGTCAGCGCCGCATTGGTCGTCAGCTCGCGCAGGGTCAAGTGATGACCATCCGTGACCCTCTGTACCAGACCATGCAGCTTATCAGCAGTGAACAAGGGTACTGGAGCCAACGAGGGAAAACGAGAAGGGGCCGTGTAGCTCTTAGCCCCGACGTGGCCAACGGCCACACCCTCCGGGAAAGCCTCATCAGGGAAGGTCGCTGCAACAAGAAATAGAAAGTCAATTGAGACAAAATCCGCTGTAGAGGTGAAATCGCCCATCGAACATAGGAAGGCGAAATCGCCTATCGAAAGGGGGAACCCACTTCGAACGAGGTCTGTCCCTACGGACTACACTCCCCTCTAATGGGAAGGGCCGAACTCGCCTTACGAAAAAGGGGTTCGTCTCCTCCCCACTGGAGAATTCGCCCGCGGGGACAGTACTCATCCTCTAAAGGCAAAATAGGGCAAACTTTGCCCCAAATCGGGGAAATAAGCAACACTCATCTCCCTAAATCCGACGCCTAAGGCCTGCAAGGGATCGCCCAACGAATCCATCAACGTACCTGGGCACGACTCCAGAGCACCAGCAGGCATGCCGGCAGAGAGACGGTCGGAGTAACGTCCGGGACCTGCACCCCTCACTTTGCACCTCTTAGGTTTCGGAGCCATTGTAAGAGGAAGCGGGAATTCTTTCCTTGGATGTTCCCTTTCGAGATTTGAAAGCACGGTAAATCCCAATGGAGGAAAACGGCTGATTTAGAAGGGCGGGGTTGCCCACGTGACCACGACTGCCCTCGAAAGGCGAAAACCCTAACGAACAAGAAACGTGGCCACGATTTTGAATCCGACGGTTGAGTCCGAGAACCACGGCCACGATACGTCGCAGGGCGAAACGCACGAGGATCGTGCTGTCAAGTCACGATCGCCACGATCCAATGTCTTAGCTGGGAAGCACGAGGCTCTGTCAGCAGACGCGTGGCTCATCTCTCGTCAGATCCGGTTCCGCCTACAAAAGGAAGGGTTTCGCCTGCAAATACTGGGCATAACCCCACGAGTCGCGCGAGAATTGGCTCTCAAAAATTAATTTCGCCTTGACGATGCATTCGCCCTCAAAGGTAAAATTACGAACAAAGCCAAAAGAATGACCTTGCTTAAACGGTTGAAACCCACGCCCCAGATGGCTAAGGGTTAGAGCAGAAATCCTAGCATTAAGCCTAAGAGAAACTGTTCGACAACTCATCATACTGAGGAGAATAGTATGGCTAGCCCGATTCAAACGGTAATCGGTAAAGGCACATCAAACCCGTTGATAGCTGAGGGTTTGCTAAAAATCCTAAGAGAAATCGCAGGCACTTGCCTCGCTAACAGTTTCTTCATTCAAAGTGTTCCAGACCACACGCAAGCCAGTTTAGGTCCGAAAACTTTGAAGGGGGTCTTGTAGACGGTAAAAAATACCTCTATGGGTCTACAGGGAATTTGTCTACGAGAAGAGTTCGCACGCCCAGTTCTCTGACACGAACCTAAACCGCGTAGACGTCGACTGGGCTCAAATCCAGGTTCGCCTAACGGTCGACTCGCCAGCATGAGTCAGGAGCGATCAGGATGGCGGAAATTTGCTCTTCGCTCAACTCGCCTGCCCGAGTTCGGAGTCGAATCCGCCAGCAAGCCCCAAAACCGTCAGTACAGCTGGTTATCCACTACCCCACGCGCTGAGGTGGGCCTTCCCACCTCTCTCGACCCAAAGGGAGAGAGAGCACAGTACCCCAGGGCCGTCAAAACGGCCGCCCACAGTGCGCACAGCGCGAAGGAGCTGGACAGGTGTCGAGTCAACCTGAGCATTCATAAATGCGACTCACCTCGGCTGTCTGAGTCTGGAGCTGGGTCCGCCGGCACGATCCGCCGGCACTCGGCAAGCTGGCTAGACCCACTCGAGTACTGTATACCTACTTCACCGCCTCTCCTGACCGGAAAGGAGAAAGCGTCGTGCTCAAAGCACGCCGGGCGGTCACGCACAGTACTGGTGATCGGACAGACGCCTCATCGATCTGCGGACTCATAAATGCGGTTCATTAATGCTGGTCAAATCCACTCGGATAGTAGTCGTTTGTTGCCTCACATACAAGAATGGGCCTTCCCATCGTAGGTGACAGGACATAAAGCACAATCCCTGGAATGACCGTTCATGGTTTCGAGGAACAGCTAGACGTCTCTGAAGAAGATGTGGTCACATCCCACAATTCAAGGAGGAGTCAAGTTGTCCTTCTCCCATTTAAAAGCCTCTTCCGGCACACCGGAGAGGAGGTCGCAAAACTTAGGAAAAAGAGTTGAGACCAAGCTCTCTGCACAACCTTTTTGCATTGCAGCACCACTGCTTAGTTCCGAGCTCCGATCGCCGGCGAACTAAACAGACCCGAACTCTCTCAAGTTGAGCTTCTACTGCGAACTGAAGCTCTCCAGCAACCTCATTCGAACGGTCCAAGGGAAGCAGACTCGACACGAGCATCGAGCGAAGCATCCTGTAGCCATAACAAGAGGATCATCATGGGGCGTCTCAACACCCTGTAGGTCATCGTCAGTAAAAGATATGAGCTCTTCTGTTCTCGTCTTCTTAGGATCATGGTCGACTTGTAGCATTCTTCTAGCATATCTCTTCCGCTCATTGTTGGATGACCCCCCAACTGTAGGACCACTACTTATTACATTGATGACTCCTTTGTGAGTAGTCTCTTAGGGTCGTTCGTCTATTTGAGGTCAAGGTCGAGGTGACCGCGAGCGGGATCTCCTATCATTTCTATTTGGGACAATATCCCTACGATCTCTCCAGAAAGTGAGATTTCTTAAATATACTCTCTCAATCAAATCCTCTATATCCCTCTTGAGGATCCGACAATCATTGGTAAGGTGTCCGTGATCCCGTTGGTAATGACAAAATTGCTTAGTGTCACTATTTCTAGGATTTGATGACATCTTGGGTGTAGGATCTTTGAGATATCCTTCCCTCTAGACCATAGACAAGGCATTGGTAAACGAGGTGTCTAAGATGGTTAGAGATTCCTTTGTTGTCCGATTTCTCTGTTGATTCCTCCTGTCTGAGTGATTAGGATGAGAGTTGGCCCTTGGAGGATTCTTGTGTCATCCTAGCCTTGGAGGACTTTTGGTCAGTTCAGGTGACAGAATTACTGCTGGCGCTGTTGGAGGGTTTGATGGAACGACCATGGTTGCTGGCGTTACTGAAGTCGTGACAACGGGAGCCCCCACGTTACTTACTGAGGCTTTGTAAGCCCGTGCGTCATCCATGTCCTTGTATCCATGGGCTTTGGCTATCAATTGTTCATAATTAGCGACTGGTTTCTTAGCGAGAGAGTCGGCCAATTCATTGCTCTGCAAGCCGACGACGAGTGCCGCCATGGCGA